TTAGCGCCATCTAGTGAGAAACAATACAGTAGCCCCCATTAGTTCAACCCAACAATATATCTGGTGGAACGTGGGAGTTCCTGAGTTGAACCTGTGTAATCTTCAAGCAGGAAGGATCGACCAACGAGAGAGCGAGAGAGAGAGTGTAGACGCCCGCTTCTCATGCACGAGAGTGCGGGCTCGAACCCTACCAACGGCAAGTATCAATGTGACTTTTTCTTGTTAATGTAATCTCTAAGATTATTTAGACACCAGTTATGTTTCTGCCAGCGACAGAGGGTGCAAATGGAAACTATGATAATTTTACTAAATTTATTATAATTAAAATTACATGATAATTCCTAAAATCTAACTAACCTAAGAGCGAATGCGTTCGATGTTAGAACAACACTGACTTCTTCTCTTAAAATTATTTGGAAAGAAGGTTTCCAATAAAACCTATTGAGGTTAAATTTAGTGGGGTGATTGATGATGCAGCGATTCGGAGCTGGGCACGAGGCGGTGACATGAGGTGACGACTCAGCAGTTTAGGTGTTGCAATACTTCGTTGCATCAAAGTAGGTCTAACGTCCTGATTCAGCAGATATGCTCCTCGTGGCACGGCGTTGATCACGGTGTAGGTACATGTGTCGGCACCGATACGTAACACACCACTGACAAACGATGAAGGAAAACATCGTGAAGAAACCTGGGCTTATAGTTTCTAATTATCAGTTCGAAATCAACAACCCGCATTGAGCAAACGTGGTGAGTAATGGTCAAACGTTCTTCGAGTCTTTGGCCAGCAGGGGCCACTCATAGGCAGTTGATGATGGTCCGTCGTCAGCTACAATTAGGTTCAGTGACTGATCGGAATGTACTACTGCAACACCTACTTGATGGAGTAGTTCATAGTCGCGGATAGAGGAAAGTGACCAAATATGGAATACCATTTTGTTTCTTACGCATAATTTTCACAAACGTTGCAAATAATAAAACTTTTTGTGGTAATTACAACAATTATATATTTTCGCTTTATTTTGCAACAAGAATTGCATAAGTTTCTTTCTTTTGAGTTAAAAATTAAAAAAAAACTAAACGACAATAATGGTACCTAAATTTGGAATAGGTACCCCAAATATGGAATAAGTGCTATTAATACGATTAAAACTAAACCGGAACTTAAATAAAACTCTTTAGAAAGGTTGGTACCTACAACATAGAAAAGAACACAACGTATTTGCAAAAGTCACAAATTCAGGCACCAGTCTCTGCTGCGGGGAATCAATATGTGCCCAGAGTCCACATTATGAGGCACTTGACCCATGTTTCTCTATGAGTATCATTTGAAAACAGAATACCACAGAAAATACACGCCGAATCTTCAGAGTCTGGAGTTGTATTTTCTATCAAAGCATCAGCTCACTGTCTGTATCAAACAAAACAATGGACCATTCCATAATTGGATTTTGCAACGACTTTAAACTGACATTAATTTTTTTTATATTTAAGAAATAAATATAATTAAATACCATCGAAATCGACAAAGGAACATCTAAACTGTCTCTAAAAGTTATTATAACAATACGATGTGCACTTTTTAAAGATAAAATGCGTGTCTTTCACATACGATAGAAAGTTATGCAGAAGCGGCAAAAAAAAAACACTGCAATATTGACGAATGGGCTCACTCGACTGATATGTCACAGCCTGTACCCGCAGATGGGTATAGAAACAAAGAGACAAACAGTGTTTCTTGCGTGTGTGAATTATAGTTTCTTAGTATTGCCGGTATTCCATATTAGGGATACTATTCCATATTTCGTCACTTTCCTCTAATGGTTCATTGGTTACACTAGTAATTGTATGCCCATGTTTAGAAGTGCGACTCTCATCGACGCAGCTATGTTTTTCATATTTCCGCTAATTGTCGCAGTTATCCCTATTAGATAACTTTCAGTTTTGACGAAATTCTAAAATGTCACAATTTTAATTGTAGGTATTTAAATAAACGGATAGACGAAGTGTGAATCATTAGCTGTCAGGTCGCCATCGACACCGCATTAGTACAATATTTCATTACTCCGAACAGTTCATACACAGCTTGTGTGATTGTTGCAAACAATGGAGCACAAATTAGTTTGGCTGACCGGCTTCGAGCCTTTCGAAGGAGCTGTCGTGAACAGCAGTTGGGTAGGAGTCAAACACGTGCCGACGCGGGATATCGAGAAGAAGTACGGAGCTGTTGTGGAGACACAGGAGCTCCCCGTGGAGTATGACTTTGTGGACTGTCAAGTACCTCTGCGGTGGAAGGAATTGCAACCAGATGTAAGTTATTGTAACTTATATTATTCTAACTACTCCCGCTGCTCGACTCCTATAGACCGTGGCGTGATGTGTTATAGCCTTCCTTAAATAGTTCCGTAGATAGCGCGTTCAAATAAACAATTGCTTCAGCTTCATATAGTACCTAGTAATTATAGATAGACTAATGTACTGTAATGTCTCCAGTTGGCTGTACACGTCGGTGTGTCAGGCGCGGTAGACTGCTTCACGTTGGAATTACAAGCATACAAGTCCGACTACACGTACCTGGACGTGGTCGGAAAGACTCCCTGCCGCGGTATAAACAGAGCTCCTGGACCAGACGTACTTCGTACGGCGCTAGACGTCGAGGCTATCTGCAAGGAGTTCAACGAGCTCAAGCTGGATGGAGGCTCTCTGGAGGCGACAGTGTCTAGTGATCCTGGCAGGTGGGTTTGACCATATCTTACCGACTCGCTGAGCAGTGAGTATACCTGAGTATATCCAAGTATTGTTTTCCTCGTTTCTTTGGAAAACAGACACGGCGACACGGCGACACGGCGACACGGTAGACGTTGCAGCCTATGTGTGTACAGCTAGCTTCATGTTCCAGATATCTCTGCGGCTACATATACTACACGTCCCTCAGCCACGGCGGCCCTCGGAGCACTCTGTTCGTGCACGTCCCTCCGGACAGGTACACGCGCCACCAGCTCGCTGACGGACTGAACTACATCGTGCAACTGGCTCTTACGCAAATATGAAGCAACACTATCAGATGTCAAAGTACACATCGAGTTATACACGACCAGCGTGTCTTAGTCTCGCTTTGTACGGTCCACCGTATATACTGGTATTACCACATAACCAATGGCAGATTATCATGACCAATTTTCTCTGTCTAAAACCCGCATTATACTTCACTGAGTTTTCCAAGTGGCAATTTTCCATCGTCAATGGGCAGTTTTGTTTTTTTATTTTATAGGTCGGCGTTTGACCACCATCTCGCCTGACGGTAAGCGATGATGTGGCCGACGATGGAGCATGTCTACCTATGAGCAACCTGTTCACTCGGGACTTGAAGACACCCAAGTCATATTTGACGGGAAACACAGCCTCTGGCAAGGAATCCCATTCCTTAGCGGTTCGCATGAGGAAGCTTGACGCGAAACGCTTCGTGCGAATGGGTGGAATGTCCACCATATAAGGGTGGCGCCCCGCCGTTCGTCTGGTGGTACGGTGATGAAATGGACTAGGGGGAATAAGTTTGGCAATTCCCACGCACACTCACAGAAATGTATCCGATAGAAGACCGAAAGGCTTGCGACTTTGCGCCTGTGTTCGAGGCTTTGTAGCCGAGCCTCCACAAGCGAATCGTCATTGATGAGCTTCTTGACACGCCTCTTGATGGATTCGAAGACTTCTAACTGGTATTTCGCCGAGCCATCCCAAAGATGGGAGCAGTACTCCATACACGATCGAACTTGTGTTTGGTAAAGAGTGAGCAACTGCTCCGGCGTGAAGTACCGTCTCACTCTCGACAGGACACCCAACTTTCTACCAGCCAGTTGCGCCTTGGTCTCAATATACGAGCCAAAATTGAGAGTGGGCGTCAGAGTTACGCCGAGAAGCTCGAGACGGTCACCCATCGGAACGGACACACCCCGGAAAGTAGGAGTCAGTGGGAACCGACTCCATTTAGCGGAAAATAGACATGCCTGGGTTTTGCTGGCATTGAACCTGACCAGATTGGCGTCACCCCAATCGGAAACCGCCGGCAAGGACAGGTTCAGACGATTTACCATAGATTCTCTCAGAGACTAGATTTGAGTTGCACTGGTTCGCGCATCGGACACATTCCTCTCAACAACGGTGCTGTCATCTGCGTACCCAAAGATACCGGGCTGGAGCAGGTCATTAATGTGCAACAAAAAAAGTGTTGCTGAGAGTACTGACCCCTGAGGAACCCCGGCATTAATACCAAGTGGATTGGATGAGCAGCCATCAATGACCACACGGATGGATCGATCCCTCAGGAAGTCTGTTATCCATTTGCACAAACCAGTGGGGAGTCCATATGCGGGAAGCTTGCCAACAAGACTATCGTGCCAGACCCTGTATAAGGCCTTCGAGACATCGAGCAATACGGCTAACGCTTCCCCGTGTTTCTCGATGACCTCGATGGGTTTCAGATATATTTTTAAGTGAATATTACTGATGTTGTTAAATTTTAATTTCATAACACGTTGATTTTTAAATTGACATTCTTGACTTTAATTAACTTTTGTTTCTTTGTACTAATTCAATTAAAATATGGTATTAATATTTGTACGCCCAGTAAGGCGAAACATAGTGTAACTAAACCTGTTAATAACTTATGAACATCCATATAACAATACCTCTGTTCCAAATAAATAAATGATTATGATTATCTCTTTAATATCCAATATACCAACCAATCCTCTAGAGATCGTATAAGTCTTCAAAGAAATTAAGATAAAATCAACTGAAGATCTTTGGGGATTATCGGTTGAAGAATGCAAATCAATTCTTTATACTATAGCGCCATATCTGGCTGTGATTTTCAATAAAAATGTAGATGACGGAGTTTTCCCTGATCTCATGAAATACAGCAAAGTCATCCCATTTATTGTTCGATCCTCGATTAACTTTTCACTAGCGACTCTTATCGTAGGTTAGGATTTTCAATTCGCAATATGCGCGAATTTGTTAATATAACAGCTATCAAATTGGTGTACATGACCCTGGTTAGAAGCAAGCTAGAATCTGCATCTCTGGTATGGAGTCCGCATGAGGTTACTTATGCTCTGATGCTTGAAAAGGTGCAAAAAGCGTTTTTGAGGTTTTTGTACAGAAAACGGTTTGGCTATTACCCTTTTCTGTACCCCACTAAGTTTCTGTTAGGCATGTTACGGTTTAACTCTCTTGAGGTAAGGCGTAATTACTCCTTAATGACTATGAGTTGTAAGACGCTGCGAGGTGAATCTGACTGTCCAGAGATTGTAGGTCAGGTGGTGCGGTTATCAGTACCGAGGCTGCTCACACACCAACTTCGACCTCGTCAACATCCCTTATTGGCTGTACCAGAAGCACGTACAGTGGCCCATGCAAATTCTCCGCTGGTCCGAGTACTCACCATGCTCAATTCTCTCCTGATGTCAGCACCAGAGTGTGATTTATTTGCAATGAGATGGATAGATGTGTGTCGTGAATGTTTAAGATTTTGTGAGAGGATGGATGATACGTAGCTGATTATAATGTTAATGTTTGTGT